GCTAGACCCACCATAGGGGCCAGCCACCTGGGGTCATGGGGATGCAGATTTTCAGTGCTGAAGTGGGGAAGTCCCAGGGAATCCAGGACCAGTCAGTCCCCCTGCCTGGCTGATCCGTCAAGGTGTTCCCAGTCTGGAGGGGGAGGCGTGCGTGGACACCCATTGTCGTAACTGGGTGAGATGTGCTGCCAGGAGGGCCTGCTGGAGAACCAGGTGGACGGAGCGGATGGGAAAGGTGTCCAGGCAGGACGGAGAGGTGACGTCAGGAAGGCAGGAGGTCTGGGCTAGCTTCTCTTCCACCCTTGGACTTGGCCTGGTGGGAAGATGAGAGCGGGAAGTGGCAGGCATGGGGGCCCACTGCCAGCCTGGAGGGCTGCGGCTTTGCAGGGGGCGGCCTGGCCACTCACAGGAGGGGTGTGAGTAGGGGAGAGATGGGGTCCACACTGGACCCTCTGACGTCGTGTGGGGTGGGCCAGAGGGGAGAGGCTGGAGGCTGAGAGGCTGGGCAGGAGACAGGGAGGGGGTCAGGGGCCGAGGACGAGGCCTGGGCAGCGATGGAGAGGGGGACAAGGCAGGCATCACAGAAAGAATAGGGCTGGGGGCCAGCTGATATGTCCACGAGATCGCCCCTTGAGGCAGCGATGCCTGCATAGCACAGGCATTCAATAATAGTTGGCGAGGTGGGCGGAGCGCGACTCCTCCGGATGAAGACGTGAAGGGACCACGCCCCCTCTCCCTCCCCCGCCCCCCGCCCCGCCCCCTCAGGGCCTTCCAGAAGCGGCAGCAGCAGCAGAGCGCCCTGAGGGTGATGCAGCGGAACTGCGCGGCTTACCTGAAGCTGAGACACTGGCAATGGTGGCGGCTCTTCACCAAGGTGGGCACGGGGGGCGGGGCTTGGGGCCAGGCCGCCGGCCAGGTGCCTTCCTCCGTTGGCGCGTCGGTGTCCTGCAGCTGTGAAAGGGGGCCGATCGGCCCAAGCATTGTTACCCAGACTGGCGTGGCTAGCAAGTGACAGGGAACTTGAATCAAAGCAGCGTGGATGAAAGATACCGGACAGCTTCAGGTGCGGCTCGATCCAGGGCTGCTTCCCAGAACAGCCTTAGGGCCAGGGACTGGCTAGAGGGACCCTCAGAGCTCAGAAAAGCTGGATCAAAAGATCCATATCAATGGCAACAGAGATAAAAAGGTGCGCAGTGAGTGCCAAGGGAGGCCAGGTGGGAGTGCTGTTTGTCGTCTGCCCGCAGAGACGAGGTGTGGGGTGTGGCCAGCAGGGACCCTGAGCAAGCCGTGGTGGCCCGCTTGTTTACTGGGGGTCTGTCACACAGGCCTAGGAAACGGGCCGGACTGCCCTTCTTAGCATCTACGCCTGTAGCCTCCTCCCTCAGCGGCCCGGCTGCCGGTGCCCTTCTATGGGGAAGCTCTGTTTAATAATGCTGGTAGGATGGGAGACCATCCCAGTTTACAGGTGAAGACGTGAATGTTCTTGCCCAAGTCCATGCAGCAGGCAGGTGGAGGAATCGGGATTCAAACCCCGGCCCTCAGGCCCCACCGCGGGTGTGAGTTCTCAGCCCCTGGGCCAGTGGCCTCCCACCTTGGGAAGTGGCGGTTGGCGGGAGGACCCTGGACAGGTACCACCCCTTCGCCGCCGCCAGGTGAAGCCGCTGCTGCAGGTCACACGGCAGGACGAGGTGCTGCAGGCGCGGGTCCAGGAGCTGCAGAAAGCGCAGGAGCTGCAGCAGCAGAGCGCCCGCCAGGTGGCCGAGCTCCAGTGCCGC